TTTATTACGTCTTTTATTATAGAGCGTATTATTATAAAGGTTTGGTATAATTATACAGGAAAAGGATGAATCTCTACGGGTGGGCGATATAATTTATGGAAAGAGATCGTTCATGTATCGTTTTATTCTTATGAGTACTGAAAAAGCGTTTTTCTGCATTAAATAGAAAGTTTGCTTATATATATATATATATATATATATATATAATCGGAAATTTCCCATTAATCACCTACCTCAACTGTAAGCCTATTTTTGCTCCGCTCTGATAACAGTAAATGTCGTTTCGGACAGATGCGCTTCAATTCAAAACCTACCTTGTCTGCAGCAGCATGGAATCCAATTTAAACAAAACTGACGACGTTCGTATACTCGTCCCCGTACGACACCAAAATCTTGGGCATGTTGCTATACCGACAGCAGACTATTACCAGTAAATGCGTGGGTCTCATCTCACCGCACCCGTAATAACAGTAACTGTGGCAGGCAAATGGGAATTTATCTTGACAGATACCTAAAAGGTGGCCTATCCAGTTAAATGTGGTTTGTCAAATGGGTGGTGAGGTATACTTCCCGATTGACGGCGCATTCGTCCTACTTGCGCGGACATGCCAAGCCGAGAACGACATTGCGAGGTCGACTCTAGTTCGAACAGGTACCTTCGCTACATAAAATATCTGACATTTTGACACATAAGGAAAACTATTATATGTGGACGACGTATTATTTAAAAAAAAATAGTTTACAATATGTCGGAGTTGCGCCCTGGATCGCCAAATTAGCATACTAGGAGGTATGGGAGTTTAGGCCGAGCGTGTCGGTGTATGCTTTATCGCACGATTTCAGCTTTACTTAAGAGGGTGATCCAAGGGTCGCCATTATCGCCAGGGTGAAAATGACCAATATGTCTAATATTTCTAACGACTCTATGTGGAATAGCTTGCTCTGGCCATGTGATTGTACAAACGTTTCCTTGACATTGTGTTGCAGTCAGTCGGATAGATATGCGCAGTCTCCTAGTGCATGCGAATTTTTTTTAACGGCTCAGATACGTAAAACCAGGATCCAGAAATGTAGTATGCAATAGATTGAATAAGGTATTGTTTTTTCTTTGATAGGCGCTGATCATCAGAGACTATTAATTCAGATCAATTACGCTAACCATTTTTATATCAAATGAAATCTAAAAACGTTCAAAAAAACGTTATATTAAATGTTACAGAAGAAAATTCGAGTTCATTAAAAGTCAGGCCCATTCTACAAAAAAAAAATTTACGTTTTATTACTACCAACTAACCAATATAAATTAATACTACCTGGATAAATTGAAAGCACATATTATAATATGGATCGCCCTCCTACCGAGAATACCCGAAGCAAGCATTTTTGTATCGGTAGAGCTCTGCATGACAATGCAGACCGACATTATTCTGGCGACTCGCCTGACTACTCAGCGAAAAGTTACACAGAGCAATTTATACATTTATCTTCGGTTACTTCAGTCGAGGTGAGCAAATATCTGAACTATACAAAATACTGTTTCATTCTGGAGACGTTTTTGACTATTAGACGGTTTTTGACCTAAGCAACTATCACCAAATACCTACGTTTTCACTGCACCTTTGCCGTCCGGATCTATTCTGAATAGGGTTCGGTTTGTTATAAAAATTCATGGTAATAGCATTTAAGTAATTATATATTTAACGATTTTGACTTGTAGACTATGGAAATGAAAGTTACAGTCTGAATCCAAAACTGTAGTTCGTACCTCAAAGAAAATTTATAAAAAGAAATGCCGAAAGAAATCCCTTATTGTGTCTAAGAGATTTTCATCGTTATAACTCGCAATCGAGCTCTTTTTCTAAATAATCACATTCTGCCAATCTTATAACGGACAGAAGAACGTGTTGTTCAATTTCCAATAAAATTTGCTAGTTCTACTCTTGCAAGTTTTTTTAATACGTAGTACCTAGTGATGTTCAAGAGATCCCGTAGCTCCGTTTCGGGTTTTACGTCCGGTGTCGCTGTTAAGCTTTCCAGCACAAAATAAATCATGTCGACGTTCAAGTTTGAATGTATCAAGTTTAGCAGGGTTTGGCAGGTCAATACGTTACCCATAACACTATCCCATAACCCTACAACGCGTCTAGGATATCATAAGGTACAAAAATAGATAGTCTATTTTTTTACGAAGGCTAAAAAAAACCTGAAAGAGTTTACATCGTTGTGGAATACCTATGCTAATATTATGCATTCTGCTGTGTTACCACCGTTCGTAAACTGCGTATTAATAACATCATCGAACTTCAGGATCAGTTACCTAAAAGACTGGCCAGTCATGGTGAACTGTTGGCAGGGCCACTTAGCATAACGAAGTTAACCTCCAGTGGGGACCCATTGAGGTCATCCTAACAAATTGAAGTAAGGTACATTTTTAGTACCGATGATATCTAGTATACCTAATCATAACTCTTATATGGCAACTGCTAATGACCTTCCTTTGCCCGGTATAGGCAAAAGTTTCAACAATGCTGGGTCGACGATAGGTTTCAGCACCTACACTTGAGCAGAAAGTGGCCGTATGCAGTTCATGTGACGTATGTTATCTAAACATGCATTTGCCGTTTGCGGACACTTCTCTTTTGTGAGTTTGATCGCACTGAAAAGTTCAGTGCCAAAGCGAAGAACCCCGTATGCCATTTGTAGCTAAATCGCTTCTATAACATGAATACTGAATCGTATAATATGTGATCCCAATTGATGCAATGCATCCGCACTTGTTTGGGACTATTTTTGATTGGGACTCTTTGGCGTCTCAAACGGATCCCACTTTAATAGACAAAGGTGTACTTCTTCGACATTTCGATTGAAAATTTTTTGTGAAAGCGTAGATCATGGCGGGTTCCAGTGCCATAGAACAATATTATCAATAGTAATAGTAAATAATTAGGAACGGTATAGCAGTCTAATATGCTTCATAGTAACTGGCATCCTATGCTACGGTCATAGTACAACGGAGTTCTGTGGAAGTTTCATCGCTATGTTTTCTTAGCAATTAGCATTTAACAAATTTTAGTGAAGGCGCCGTAACCCGCCGTACATACTTATGTAAATCATACGTTTACGCTAAAAAGAAATTGCTAATTCCTTTTAAGGAATCGCAATAAACAAGTAATGATAAGCTTCTCGGATAGCTTCTTGCAGGCGGCTCGACGAGTCTGTTTGCCCTGAGGCCAAAATTGACATCTTTGCCTGGTTTGGACTAACTGAACTCTGAGCTTGCGACAATTGAAGACTGTAGACAAAGTCAATTGTGCTGGTGACGGGTTTATTCCAATGACAGCAACGTTATTTGTTTCCAGATGAACCGTTTCCACAATGGAGGTTTCCGTTTAAGAATCATTCCTCGCCGAATTGCCGTGCAGCTGCCCGTCCTGTGACATCATACCGAAAGCGAACAAACTGCGAGACCATGGCCTCCAATGCTTACCCAGTGACGAAAGTACCTGCGCTCACAAAATGACGTCGACTTTGCCAGGGGCGCCGCTCGCCCAACGTGCGTCGGAGCTTCGACGATGCAAAGGCGTAAGTAAGCTTAATTGGTCGATTTCAAGAAGTTCGTGATGCCTTGAAAACGGATTGAAGGCCACTGAAGAGTAAATTCTACTGCGTAAGCGGCCGGCATTACCTGTTCATTACACGGTTCAGCTCTTGTCACTGTGAAGGTATTGGATTTCTGTTTTACACGAATACCACGGGTAGAAGATTACCTTTTGTTATACTTTTGTTTGAGGGCGAAATTAAAATACAGTCGGCTACTATCGCATCGTGGAATATCGCGGTCATACATAACTGGGGCACAACCCATTCTGGCAAAATGACAGTCGTTGCGCAAACCGAGCGTCGGGTAACATTATTGGGGAATGGCTTGGAAGTTGTCAATGCCGTAGACCCTTTTTGTCGATACTTATCGAACGTGCAGGCGCGTAGCATCTGAATTTGAGTTTCAATAATTGATTGGAAGCTGTTGACACAGGTCAGAATGAATTTTTGGAATGAAGGACATCGCTGTAAAATGTTCACTCGCATGTAATACATATCATAACGTAAGACATTACATGTGGTCCAAACACGACCTTAGCCTTGATCATATAGTATTTTTATGAAGTATTAGAAAGGTGTTTTATGAAATTTAATGAAATTAAAAAAAAAAGATGAATTCATATTTGCAGATGCGTTTAATGTAATACTAGTGCGGATGCATCGTCACTCGCAGTTTTAATCATCAATAGTCAAATTCAATTTTCAAATACATTACTTAGCCTTACTTGAAAGGTTCTTAGCTTACACAACATAGGAATGCAATGAGATAAACCCATAGCGCGACTATTTCATCCAATCTATACATTCGTGCAGAATACAACTTATCGTTTACGCATTATTTCTATTGGCTAGTAAACAAGTATGCCGGGCTTTTTCAAAGCAGACAGCTTTTGCGCCCTTTCTTCGCTTTATCCGGCTATATTCGCGTGTTTGTTCGCCGCCAATAACTCATTTGAATGGATTTTTTCAAAATAAACAACAGAAAAGTACAAGTAAACTCAATAAAAGTTTCGGTCTCCACGTTCAGTATCGCCTTAATTAAACATTGCTTCAAATGGCAAAAAACAGAAGTATAGGAAGTGTTTCTAAGTTGAGTAGGCGAACACGTTATTACTGCACCATCACGACGAGCACAAATACCCCTTAATGCGCAGCTCGTTCGGACGAGTGATGGATGTTATTCGTGAATCTAGATATATATCGAATATCTACGCATTGCTTACGTGGTTGAGTGCAACAAATTCGAGCTAGTATTCATTGAATGTCGGCACAAAGTGATTAGTAAGGTGAATGTGTATGCAACGTACAGGTTGACTTAGGAGGGCCATAGAACGAAGATATTTTCCTGACAGTAGCCGAACCTAAATGACAGGTAGTTAAACGTCAAGCAGGTAGGCCCCTGTAATCGCTCTTAACGCAGGCGCGTAACGTAAATCATCTTAGGCTGTTATTCAAGGTATAAAGATGATGTTTCAATTGCTGTTAGTTAAATATTTACCTTTAACAAAATAAATAGTTACCAGTGTATTTTTATCATACGTATACAATAATTTATTATTTGTTAGCTTTGTTGTGTCAAATATCAACTGACATACTTACTCCGCTCCATAAACAGCGCTTGCGTGTTTTACTATCAATCACTAACGTCTTTCTAAACCGATAATAAAACTAATAACAAAATTGTTTTCATAGCTGACGGAAATTAAGCAATTAGGGGGCACTAAATAAAGACTAGTTGAACATTAACGAGTTGATGTTTTTGCGTGTAGATATTTTACTCAGCTTTTAGTGAATTACACAAAATACATGGACATTTATTTCGTCCTTACGCGATGGAACGTAAATAAATACATAATACTCCCATAGATTTATAGGAAATATGAAGAAATAGCCGACCAAAAAAAAGTTTTACCACTATGGCTGAAGATTCATCACCCGATGAGGATTATATGAGTGACAAACTTCTGGTCCAAGCTGAACAAGTCGCTCGTGTCGGCCTGCCACTAAAGAAGACAGAGAAACATGAAATTGAGGTATAGTTATTGTTTTTCATAGTAAATAGTTTAAAATTAACGTGTATGCTGAAATGTACGGTTTCAAGTTCTAAGATAAATTGATGTTGTTAAAAAAATGAGTTGTAAATAAACAAACGTTAAAATTACAATACGCAAATAATGAGAAAATGGAACACGAATTTTGCCTTTATTCATACGTTCTGTAATATAAAAACCACTCACATTTACATTATTTACGTTATTCGACAGAAATAATCGCACGTCTAAACGACATCTCGAAGGAAAAAGCTTGTTAAGAGATTTTCATATTGATGGCACGTACGTCTTCCCAATTTTTTTTATATTTAAAAAACTTTCTTAATGTTTTGACAACATTTGCGCACCTAAATGGAAATCGTTCAGCCATATTTCGATTAAATGAGACATAGGGTCATTAAAGCTGATTTACCGAGGCATTTTTATCCGTTCATTCCGTTATTTTTTTGTTCTCTTATCTTTTATTTGTTTCAATTTTGAAATATTATATTTTTTCACTATAGCACGTTGTTAACGCAACGACTCGCAAGCTAGCTAGCGGCATAGTTAGTGCTCAATTCTTAGTTTTTTTTTTGAAAATATCAATGCTAATTTAATGTTCTACTAGTCATGTCATCATTTTGTACTGCACTGACATAACTGTATAAAAACTATTCTATCAGACTTTCGATAAGATAATGCTTTGTTGGAACTTAAAAAAGTCATAGCGGCTTTCTTAATGGTAGGTAAATATTGCTAAAATTTATTCGAAATACTTGAATAAAATCATATGATGTTGCAATTATTGTTCCCATAGCTGCCATTGTTACTTACAAATGTGTCATACTACAATTTGCTAGTTGTCAGCATTAGTTTCTAAACTAAGACCTAACTAATTATCTGTCGACCAAGAGTATTATTTGGTGTAATTTGGTTTACATGTAGATGTTTTTGCATTAGATGGTCAAACGTAAAGCTGAAAGGGACGCAATCGCTCGAACAAAAAAACGCCACATCCTCGAAGAAGAGCAACGGAACACGGGTCTGAAGAAATCCATCAGTGCCAGTAATAAAGGTAGGGGATGACATTATATACCACATAGGTAGTTGCATCTTTTATGTATCTCTCGAACTAAATGTGTTATCAAAACAAACGGAACAATTACAGCGAAGATTGTCAATCAAAAGAAGAAAGCCTAATCATGCATTTACCTCTAAAATGCAAATTGTAAGTACCGAAAGTTACCGTATTGTGATTACTGCTAAATAATACGTTTATGTAATTTATTGTTTTTTAATAGGATTTGCTCTCCTGGCGGCCATGGGGTTCAAACCCGGTATGACATTGGGCAAAACTAAAGTGACCACTTCCGACAGCCCGACTGATTCCGGGGTTTCCGAAACCAGCGCTAGTTCGACAGGTCAGTTTAGCAGATAATTCGTAAGAATTGTAAACGAAATTGTATATTAGTATCCATGTCAATTTATTTACATATTATTCAGGTTTGCACCAGGTAACAAGTAAAAGTTAATTTAAAATAAGTATAATATATTACACAGGTTTGACTAATTCATAATATCATGCTTAATTCATCATTGTATATTATCTTTAATATACCGCCCTTACTTTTTAATCCGCAGGTATGACTCAATAATTATAGTACGATACTACTAATAATTGAATCTATTCTGCTAGACAAGAGTATTTCCTCTTTTTTCTAACAAGACTTCATTTTGTGTATGGCACAGGTCCTCTAATCGAGCCATTGGCCCTAATATTAAAAAAGGATGGCCGAGGTGGCCTTGGTTTAGCAGCTGACAAAGAAGAGAAAGCTAAAGAACGCCTGAAAGCTTATGTAAAGAAAGGCACGGAAAAGACGAATCCCCACATTCTTATGAATGATTTTCGTAAAAAAAAATGCGACGACTTTAAACTAAAAGCCGTTCGAAATGATCTCGCCAGAAGTAGACGCGCCTGCAGACAAATGGACCTTGAAAACGGTAGGTTAAGTTTAAACAACTATTGCCGTTCAAAGCAGTACTTAAAAGCAGCAAAATCGACGTAGAAATTCGAAAGATTATTATTGGCTAACATTTTTAATCGCAAGTCGTTTAACAGCTGCTGCTTCTAGCCCCGCCCGGAGTTCGTTTTCTTTAAAAATTCTAGTGAGAGTCCTGTACTGTTATAGGATTATTAGAAACAAATGTGCAATACATTTCGATTATTATATGTGAAACTTAGCGAACGTAGTTCATATAGGAACGGACAAACCTAGCCAGTAACTGGTGAGGCCGTTGCAATTAAAAAATAAGCAATTAATATGGCTTGAACCTCCAAAGTAGAATTTTCGTCTGGATGCTGTATCTGACGCCTACAGAAGCAAATGGGAACAAAAAATAGCGTAATCCTAGTCTTAAGTCATAATCTGCCGCACGGACGAAACGTTTAAACAGCTTTCTGTCACATTTTTTTACCTGCATCAGCTCAGTACATCCTTGATTAGCGTATTTTTTTTTACATTTTTACAAATCTTCTATTAATGGCTACCCAGTTATTGCCTTCATATTTGACATCCTTTAAAATACGTTTTTACCATGAGTGCGCTTTCAGAGGGTAGCTCATAAAGCAAGATCTCCAACGAGAAGTGCGGCTCAAATATCATAACCATGCTATATTATACGCGCCCTACTTATGCTACATAAGATGAGAAATCATACCCAAATATAGTAAATGAATTTCATTCTTACCACAAATAACTTCTCTTGTGCAGGGTTGATGCAACCAGAAAATAAGCTTTTTTGGCCACCGGTTGAGCCAGCGGATGATGAAAATGCCTCTAGCAACGACGACAGGTGCGGCGAGAATGACCTCCATGAAGACGAAGTCATTCTCCATGATTTAACCAAATATTTGCGAATAAAATATTTCTATTGTGTCTGGTGCGGATGTCGCTATCAGGACGGCGAGGATTTGACTGACTGTCCGGGAGACAGCCGTGAATTTCATGATGATGGCTAAAACACTCGTTCTCTACCATATTTATTTGTCTGAGCTTCGTGCAGAATATAACCGTTACATAAATATATAGAAGCGGTTCAGTCAAAAAAAGTAACCCATTTTCCGTGACGTAGACAACGAACTTAGGATACCCGGGGCTACGTCTGGGTCCCATGTGTTCAGGAATGTAAAATACCGAAATCAGAAATATGATATAGGCACTTATATATGATTTGAGAAACGTACCAGTATAGTTACGATTGACTGGTATTCAGCAACACTATTGGTATCAAGAGAATCAAGGACAAAAACGTTCATATACTCGAAGAAATTTGTGTATCTTCTGTTTTTGTGTGCGCAACCAATAATTGTTTTATGTCGTATGTTCTTTATATATATATATATATATATATATATATATATATATATATATATATGTAGATTGTTCAAGCCCGATGATTGCTGGCAATATTTTATATAAAGGTACGTGCAGTTGTTGCCAGAATGAGCTATTTGAATAAATTAGTGTGTATATAGAACTCATCAAATGAATTAATTTCATTAACTACATTAACTCTTCATGGATACTCAATAAAGAAAGTTACGTTACAATAGAATATAGTATAAAATATAAAAAAGGTTACACCTAACGCTGTCGATTGTTAGGAAATTGTCTTTATATTTCATCTAGTTATATAACGTACCAAAATTAAGGCTAAGCTAAAATGACTTGGAAGATTTAACCGCAAACATGGAACATAGTTTGTGAAATGGAAAAAATACTTAATATAATATGAATATTAATAATTTGAATTTTTTATAATTAAATTTACTTGTATTTAACTATATGTATTTAACTTTCGATCACAATTTTGAGTCAGTTACATTTGTCGTCTTTTTTTTATCATCTCCACCCTTATTATGATGTTTCGGTCAAGTCTCGTGACCAATAGAAACGCTAGTTTTTATTGCGTTGTTTAAGGGACAAATTTAAAATGAACGCTCAATGTTTTGCCCTTCTTAGACTACTTACGATAATCACTGCCCATTTCTTTATCAAAAATATTTCATTTATTTGCCGCTCTTGGATATGCGACGTTCAAAATTTAAATTCAAAATGTTCCCTTATCTATAATCTTTAAATACTAAGATGAAATAGTTAGTATTTCATTTTCAAATCTATCTTTGTTAGGCAACAAAGTACATTGGGTTTTTGACTGCTTCAGAAAACCCATTGCAGGCTTGATAACAATGAGCCATACAGGGCGTAATAATGGGTTTTAGTCATTAGAGCTTAATGAATTTGGAGACCTTTATCAATAATGTCCGAAATGTATAATTTTCTGTTTAATAGGTGAATCATAAAACGCTATTGTATAAACAATTGTGTTGTGTAAGATCCTGGCGATTCTAAAAAATCGCTATATATTTAGCTAATACGAGACTGAATTAAAGGTCAGGGCATTTTTATATTTTGAGTTTTAGGTTCAGAATCACGGCTAGGCATTCCATTAGATCTGGCTCCCAGCACGAAATAAACTGTGTCCATCCCCGAATTCTGACCTAGACCACAATGGGTCCTGAAGACTAGTAAAGACCTGGACTACCTGTCAGAACTTCTTACTTAATATTCTACAGGATATTACGGAGTGAACTGGACGAAAGCAGTTGAAAAGTTCAAACAGAAACTTTCTCTGTCAAGAGGCTGAGCCGTTACAAACACGCGGCAGAAAAACGACTCTTGTGTACAATGATTTTGCTGTTAGATGCTTATTGAGAGGGATACAAAAAACGAATCGGTTTGATAAAAATACCTTCTAAGAAGCCTGGGTTTACTGGTCTTTGTCGAATGCCTTAGTAAAACGTAATTTCTACTGTACAGAGATGAAGGTTCGAGATCCACCATCTTCCCCTGTAGACAATATATTCAAAGATGTCGAGCGAATATCGTCGGAGAATAATGAAAGAACGGATAATGAGGTAACACATTTATAAAACACCGCTTTTGACAGAGAGCAGCTCATATCGCAAAAACTCAAAGATTCTATCAAAAACAAAATGAACGTTTCCTGGCGGTCTTGACTGCAATCAGACGCATCGATCGTAATTTGTGGTGAATTTCGAAATAAATGAGTAAGAAAAAGAAGCGCATGTTAATAAACTATGAACTTTTCTTTATAACAATGAATTTCTCCGTACGCCAAGAGAAGCTCAACAAATAAGTTAACAAAGAAAAGAAAATACCTTCGAAATTTGCAGGCAGATGGTACTCATGATGATACACCGTAAATATTCGTACACATTCAAATGTTTGCAAGGTATTATTGGGGAATTACACTGGCCTTGATCTTTTTTTTTGATACTCGAGCGCTAATTACAAAACCACATATGTAGACGTTTAGTCGAAGATATTTGCCTGTAATATGTATGACTTGTTAGTGTCACTCAGGTCATTTCAACTACTGAATACAAAAGCATGACTTTTTTACTACCATGATCTATTAAAGCATTCATTTTTCAACTTGCGCAAGATTTAAAAGACGCGTATGTCACGGTTGATTGTATTTATTTTTATAAATGCATCGTTTTGTAATATTGGCTACTGGTCACTAATAGAGCAAGTTTTTACATCCGAATTCACCAACCTGGAATTACTAACGTGAAAAGTACTATAATGTCACAGCGATCTGGCTATATATCTCGTGCGTTTGCTGTACTGTGGCCTCGACTTAGCGGTAGATAGTAAATAGATATATTAGAGTGACTCATACAGCACACTGTAGCATTCGTTTCTGTGAAATAAATAACTTCACAATATATTTCATAATAAGTGCGTCAGCTGTACCTTGAGGATTTGGCGCCGCGCTGCTCCTTGAAGCGAAAATCCTTTGAAGAAACAATTTTTCCAAAAAAAACATCGCTATAGTTAACTGTTTTGAATACGGCCTTCTGATTTTTTTATACAATTTTTAAAATGGTATTACGTATTGCCTTTGATCGTCAGATAAGCTTAGAGCCATGGCGTTAGCTCCTTCGTTCTCGGTTTAATGTCGCGCTTTCGTTCGTCGCATTTTTAGTGTAGGATGTTTTCACCCCTTAAACGGCAACATTTTACAACATGAAATGCATTCGCGTACTTCAGCGTTCTTTTTTTATTTATTTTGTCATTGCTATTACGAGAGCAAATGCAAAGTGACAAAGGAGTGCCACCATGTTGAGTATATGAAGGAAATCCATAAAAAATTATCAAAAGCAAAATATGAAGTCGATCGACTCGGCTCCTATCAAGCTGCTTCTAGCAAACTTTTGCCCCAAAATCAACAGACGCGACGAGCGACCTTATATGCGCCTGCAATGGGTAGAAACACAATTTATAGTACTGAGGCGGTTTGTAGCATAGCGTATTTATTAGCGATATCGGCGAAAAGATCAAGGATTTTTTCGTCCCTGTTTCCTGTTCAAGATACAGTGTCCCCATTATAAATGTTAAAGGCCAGTGACATATCAGGGTTGCTCTGGTTACGTTGATGCCTTTTGAAGATCATCTCTTAGACCATAATCTCTCGGCAAACAGCAACGTCGACATACCTGAGAACGCACACATCTTGCTGCGGTTAGTAATATAATGCCATGTTCAAAGTTACACCCGAACACAAATAAGTTGTGAATTCATCATATTCATTCACCTGCTTGCTTGATAGCTAAATAAATTTAGATGCGGCAGAACTAAATTTATTTGGGAAAACTGCAATAATTAAGGCCGCAAAGTGGCGAAAGCAAATTTTTTTCAATCTAACACCCAAGAAGAGGAGTCAGTAGATGGTCATAAGTGGATTCATTATTAGACGGTTTTGACTGTTTTTACAAAACAACCTGACCTGAATAAAGTAACTTTTAGTCCGAGATGTGAATTATTCAATACGCTCGATGGTATCTCTGTCAGTCTCAAATCCAGCATTTAAAAACAAATCGAACGAATTTTCCAAAATCAAAACTTATTTAACCCGGAAATGAATTTTGAGAGCGCTGTGCCGTGTTTTACTATGTGGCTGTTACTCGCTTTGGTCGATTGTAATAAGTTCTATCCTAATGACAAAGTCACTTATTCATTTTTTCTTATCAACACCTTCTGTCAGTGTGAAAAATTGGACACTGATAATTGGAGACCTTAATCAAAATATTCCCTACTAAGCAGTTCTTGAATGAATCGTGGCGTTGATACGTAGTGGGGCACATCGTGCTTTCAATGATTTCGCCGTAATTGTCCAATTTCGTATCCGAATCAAAATCTAGAGAATGTGTGTAATAACGTATTTGCAAATACTGAGCATAAACCCGCAGTTCGGAGCTATTTTTGATCGCAAGAGCTTTTAATCAAATGCATACTGACAACAGGAGCTCGGTCAGTATACCTTTGGACGAGTTTTTTGTGAAAGGACTCCTTTTCTCGGCTGTGTCTCAACTGATTCTCTACTTCAAATGTTCTTTTGGCATCTTACTTTGGGTGTACGTTTTCAAACGTTGTACCTTTTGGGATTTTGAGTGTACGCTCCTTTCGTTTTTCAGTTACAAGTTGCAGATCGCCTGTTGGGCGTTAGTTAGGTACGGCTCTGAGCGTTGACCGCGACGTGACAGGTTCCACATGCCTCTCAAACGAATTGTTCGTACATCTAATGTTTTTTATTTAGCTTATTCGTTAGTTTTGGGACAGCAAAAATGACGGCTTTTCACTTAATTTTAATATCATGGAAGCACGCATTTTTGTTTTAAACTTCTCACAAAATTTCCTATAATACCGTCTGCGGTAATAGGTTCTCAATAAATTCGTATGTATATATTCTTTTTCAATCAACACAAACCCAACTAAACTTTAGTTTTTATCCTCTTTCATAGAGGTAATTTTACTCCCCAATTCACAAATACACCCCGATGCTCTCTTTTTAAATACCAATTCTTTCCTATATTTCGTCCCGCCGACTTCTTCTGCTTATTGCTATCTGCAAGAAGCTCCTTTAACGGCTCTCTTCAATTTTGTGAATCATATTTGTCTAAAATAAAAATTTTGTCTATAAATCTAAAAAAAAAAAAAAATACGTTCAATAAGCCACGCCACTTTTGCCATGCCTCCTATAGCCTGCTTTACGTAATGGTACAATACAGGTACGCTCGTACATCGTAGCGTATCGGTTATAGAATTTCCGAATATAGACAACTGCTGTACGCAGCATAACATGTTTTTCATGTCAGCACTTATACACACAACGCGGACGTACATAAAGCGCGCCTAACGGTATAATCCATCAAACGAAGCAGAAAATTAACCCATCCGTGCGCAATCGTTAATAAAAGTAACATTTAACTATAATACTTTTTCGATATAAGAAAGAAACGACGTTAGGACACTCGAAAAACAAGAACAAGACAGCTTTGTGATTTGCCTACTTCGACCCCTTATAGCCTCCTGGAAATTATTACAGAGTGAATTTAGGCGGAATCATCAAGAAAAATATAACAAAAATATCGTTGAGCAGCCATAACTTGATTCCGTTGTTAAACATTTGTTCATCTGGATACAAAAAAAAAACAAAAATAAGTCTTGTTTTGAGTTCTACGTCTGGCAGAGTCGTCAAGTTGTGATGAATTACGTTTGAGAGAAAGCACTTCAGACTCTAACAATCTATAGACACTGGCGAAAATAAAATGAAAGCTACCTGAAAATTACCGGACTCATCGTTTATTTTCTGTATCAGTAGACAACTTCAGAAAGCAAGGGTAACTCAAACATGTAAAATTGATCTAGAGGAGAAGGTCAGGCTCTAATCAAAATACAGTTTGTACAATTCAAGATAGCTACGAGGTGATATCCGTGTTTAAACACGTTCCGTCTTTACTGAATACAATAATTTTATTTTTATTTAAGCAAATTATCTAATTATGAGGCAGCGTTATTATCACATTTAAATTTAAAAGGAAACAAATGTATAAAGGTGAAGTTAATGACTTTAACGCTACTGACTCGAAAGGGAAAACAGAAAATGCCTTCACAATTGAATGAGATAATGCTTCCGGGCAAAAATAAAGAAAGTTATTATTTTCTATTTTAATTTGTTTCAAAGCTCAATAATTGTAGAAGTAGTTTTGTCGAAAGTAGACAGTTTCTTTCGCCCTATCATTTTGTGTCACACATTAAAACTCGAACCGGCGGTCGCTAACCTTCAATTGACACAGACAGATTTGCTTGAGGTACCGTAAAGACCGACGGAGATAAAAGGAACACCCTCACGTAGCTTCTGAACTTCAATTCTCTGCATCTTCTCAGACCTTTTCTTTTTTTTGTGCTTAATTGTACACTACGGGTCTAACCTAGATTTTCGATGTTAGTCTTTATCTTTACATCTCATTGTAGCGTTTCATTTATTACTCTATAGAACCAAAAGGGAACTACCTGCAGAGGTTTTAATAAACTTTTTTTTCTTAAAAAAACGCTATATATAATACAGTGAGACCTGAAAAATCTTGGTATTTCCCGCAGAATATGCTATATTACTAACGGCCTTGAAATGCAGTCTTCCTTTAAAAGCATCAGGTCGCCACGAGTTCACCTTTACACAACCACATACTTTCTATGGCTAAAGAACGAATGCCTAGCTATTGCAGAATTATTAATTTGAACTTACCTAAGCTGAGTGACGACAGCCTCAACGGTAACGCGCTAGACACAAAAAATTGAAACATAGGTAACAATCATTTCACTAATTTAAACTAATGTGAGAGCCAAAAAATTAATAAACATCATCTATGTTACTTCAGCAACCAGACATCGACAATATTGATTTCAATAAACGCCAAAACAAAACGTCGAAATATGCCCGAAATATAGGGTCCGGCTTTTTGCCTGTCTGCATAATCGTTCTTTTCCAAACCGCGCCGTTCTTATCTTCACAGCGGTTGGTCTCTACGAAAGCTCGATTTACGCAAGCCATGTTTATAACAGTGTTTGGGCTTTATTCTTTCTCCGCCCTGAAACGAGAATGAAGTTGCATGCGTTATCACACACAAAACAGGACACACGATCGCGATACTTTGCGGCAGCATTGAATACGTTTTACGTTTACAAAGATCCCCTGAGAGTAGGGGAGATAACGAAGAAATAAAAAATATAGGAAGCGAAACAATTAATCAACGAATGATAACATCTGGCCTCTTTTTCTCTTACCCTCAAACAGAGGCCGTGCAGGGACTTTAATGACGACGGAGACGCACAATTAGCAGAGAAACCGTCTCCCAAAAAGGTGAGAGGTCAAACGCTGATAAATGGAACGATATATATATATATATATATATATAGTGACAAAGAAACGAAAGGGAAGAGTGGCTGCGAACGATCACTTTAAATTACGGTACTGATATCACTATATATATATATATATATCACTGTATAGAGATCTTGCGGAAGGAACTCCAGCGCGGTCACAAGCTAGAAATAACCTATGATTATATGTATACACATTTAAACTGATATAAGTTATATATACATAATACACGCATTTCCGTTAGCAGTTGCAGGGGAATAGCCTACATACTCCTATAGCATATGTAAAGTATATATTTTTCTGGTAATTTCACAAACGCATCATGCATCTATATCACCGTCAGCTGGCGGTGCCTAGCGTGCGACTCGTGAATTTATTAATCCGAAATTCATCCCTACCCAATTAGCGTACACAGCGTAGCTTATAATTAAACAATTCTGCTATGGACGAAATCGCAAAAGGTTTTTCTGTCATATATCTATGTAACAAGTTATACTGCAGTTTGAATTCAATATAATATTCTATTTTTAACGACAATAAGTTTCTTCGATTTTTTATATGCACTCTCCGGAAACTGAATTTTTAATCTTCTTCGAAGTCCCTTTCCGCTTTTATTAATCTGTTGGTAGCCTTTTACTACAATAACTGGTTAGGTTTACGCTAGCCAAATGCTGCGCAGTGAAAAAGATAAAAAAAAAAAATTGAATTAATTTCTACTGGATTGCCAGAAGCACATTCAGCTCATACTGGTGAAAACCAACCAACTGAGGCGTCCACATGTAAACAAATAGCTAGGTATGGGCTTTTCCTGTCGAAGATTGTTCCACGATATTGGGTTTTAACGCACTAGTACAATGTATCATATAGTACCAATAGTACTATGCATAGTGAAGTATTAATTTGTAAACCACTTACGTTCAGCCTAATCTTTATCACCATACGATTATTTTTAAAAAGAGTAAAAATAATCAGATAGTATGCTACAATTAATCAAACGGACAGATTCTACACTAGATAACGTAAGTGCATCTAACTGCAGACCAGACGACTGAGGCTGTACGCAGATCTCTTTAAAGGCATTAGATTAGAACGTGCGAACATTGCTGTAAAGTGAATTTCCAGTACCTGTTTCTAATCGGGAAGAACATTGAGTCATGGCGCGTATTTACGAAATGTAAACGTCTATGTAGAATTTTTGTATATTGAATGCGGGCACAAATTAGGCTTATGTGCTTAACTAATTGGTTAGATTTATTAATTGGACGCAATCCTATAGTGTAAAAGAACAGTGGAGTAAAGAGTGCATTTTAAAACTGGACAAATTATACGATTAATCGAAGGTATTTCTGACAAAAGTTTCCTTTTAAATAATATGGGTTCCTAAATCATTACATACAACGTTTGAATTATATGAGCTATTAAAATATGGCCAAAAAGGCATTAACACGATAACCTTCATTATGTTTTATCAACTTTTTTCGCATCCTGTAGGGGGTGTTTATCGTTGTGTAACAGTCTGTGCTTTCCAGATTTCTGTTTCTCTAAAGATCTAAACGATTTAGTCGCCACAGAGCGCAAGTCAATACGATCTTCTACGGTCTTTGTAAAAATCTAAATCGTTCCCTTTCCCGATGCGAAAATGTTTACCGACACGATAAGTATGCCTGACAGATAATATCTTTTACAACACCAATTGTTTTTATTTTTAAATTCTAACCAGGTGTTATCTAAGGCACATGCACAGTAATATTAGTACAAACAAATATATTTTACAGAGCTCAAACGTTTGGATCCTTTCCCAGCTTTTGTATAGCGGCCATGAGCGCTAAGCATAAATGCACCAAATCTGTATTTAGTTAACGCAAGCTTTGAAAACTAGGCCGCTTCCGCCGTTCAATAAACCTTAATAGCCAACGTCTACAAGCATGTGATCCGAGCCGCTCGACAACTCGTAGAGTCATCTGTGTTCGAGCACAGAAGAAGTATCAAAGTACTCCAACCGCATGAACACAACGTAACGACGGTAATAACAACCCTGTTTATTACCGTTGCAAATAGATTTGTATATTTTATTCTTGGCACCGAACCGCCGCTTTGGTCTTCTGGCCATAAAAAATGGAATGCTTTATCGCCTAGCTAAATCCTGTCCTTCGTTAACGTGCAGCGGTTGGTCTGACTGCTCAGGACCGTCGTTTTTTAAGACTCGGGTACCTGAAAAAAACGGAAGACTCCGTTTGTCCCTATGGGTGTGCGGGTTTGTTTGAGTTTATGTATGTGTGTTTTTTCATGTGTGTCTAATACAATACGCTTCATCAATGATTTGTTTGCCGAGGCTCAGCATCTTTTCTATCCAATATGGCAGATTCTACCGCCATCGCCTCTGTTAGGCCTAACGCAACCACTACGTTTATGGTTTTATCTGTGTGTGTTTCTGCATGTTGGTGTTGAGGTCTATAGGTATAACGAGTACCCTCTTCCTCGATAAACGTACAGATTAACCCGGTCTATGGCGGTGCGCGCGAATGACTCGCCAGCGTCGTAGGAGTAGCGGAAGCGTTTGCGTTTGGCGAGGTCGCACCGATGTCAGCAGTAGCAATGAAAAGGAGCTTATGGCCGTCATGTGATTCTGCCACAGTTTCTTTTTAACAACGCCATGTTGACGATATACGCGCGTGCGGGCGCTCAAGTAACAAAAATGAACACAGCTATAGCATAACTGTGACAGCAGACCGCAGATTGGCCGGCCAACAGAGAACGTGAACAGAATGGACGCGGGCTAAAATAAAGATACACACACATTGAGAATCGCAAGTGTTTGCAAGCTAGCAATAATAGGGGAAGTTTATTGAACGACTTGAGCCATGCAAATGATTTGCGCGGAGGTGGAACATAGGTATCTCCGACGGGCGTAAATGGTAGGTATTGTAGAAATAAGAATAGAAACGCAAGAAACAGGAAAAATCGGATATTTTAGAAAATCTATAAATACGGGAGATCGAGTAAATGGTAGCTGTCGTTCGCAAAAGGCTCCACAATTTTTTACAATAAGTTTCGTGAGAGGAGTAAGTTTCGCGAGACACTGAGTGGATAGTGGACAGCATTGTCAAGCGGCAATTGATTTTTACACACATTTTGTTAGAGGAGAGTCCGGCGGCTTTTTGATAGCTTCAAAATTCAAAAAAAGTCTTAGAGTTGTCCAATATTTGCACACAGATGCGTAGTAGTATTATGTATTTATGTAGAAAATATATGATCCAAAACAGCAGTTTCCTTCTAACGTTATCGGATGTTGAGAATGGAAGCGAGATGACTTGAAAAAAGAGCAGAGGCAAATAACTGTTTAATTGTATTCAGTTGCATAGTTGAAAAGATCGCTATGGTGGCTGCACATTAAGATAAATAAAATTTCGATTTGTTACTGTTAGACTTCAGGCGCGGTTCAAACAATCATTAAGTCCTGTTTCTATGTAAATAGATGCCGAATTTAGCTTTCTAAGAATACAAATTTAGAGCCAGCAATATAGTTGCTACGATATCATGACTTAATAAGGGAATCTATGCGATTCTTGCATTTGCATTACCAAGGAACAATCAAATCTCTACTGTACACATTTTCAATGACACATATTTAGTAAGTACGGCACGGAGTGATTAAACAGTCTGCGCTCACGGTAAGCTTTTTCTCAGTATCCCGACACGATTTTCTCCTTAGGCACTCTGTATCCTGCTATGGGGCTTAACCAAAAAATCCGCCTAAGTTCTGCTAATGACTAAATTTGTTACGGCTCTTTTTGCAGTTAACAACACAGCATTTGAACATCTCGTTTTACATTGTATTGAACATTGAATTCAAAATTCAGACAGTAACCTATTCTGACGCTAGAGATACCTAGCACACAATATGTGGACTTCATTGCCACATGGGCGACTTCCAGAACCCAAATGAGTCCAGCGCTATATGGACAACAGTACACACTAACTAGAACCTATCTAGACTGCGTTAAGTACCTGTAAGTAAGGCTACGGTCCATGAGTGAGTCCATCTTTTTCTAGTGTGGAATGAACCTATCGTCTAGGCGAAACTGGCCCAACCGGCCTTGCAAAAAAAGAAAAGAACATCATATTTATGCATATTGATTCATCCACCTTTCCTTTAACAACAGGAATGAACCAGGCTTCGCTGTCCAGCCTCCGGTTCTTGTTTAACGAACTGGCTATTGATTGCGTACTCAAGCATACTTCGTTTTATTCTGTATCGAGGTAACGAGACTCACCTCAAACACGAAGTAATGAGAGTGTAAATAAACTGCCTGAAAAACACTGTCTTTCGCAAAAATTATTGAGTATAGGTTTAGCAAGCATATACAAATATTTTGTGCAACTTAGGTGACCTAATTGTGATCTAACAGCGGTGAAATGAACGGATTCTTCTTTTTTGTTTGAGTCTACTCTGTTTCGCAGATTCGAGTCACATGCTTTAGATTTATATTCTACGCTAGTTCAGCTTGCTACTTAGGGCCGGCCGCCCTGATCACTAAATCGGAAAACATTTATATACAAATGCATTTTTTGACCTGATCATAAAACGATGAAACAGTCGTTAGCTCGTCCAGTCTGAATAATCGCGCATAATCTCACCTGCAGATGTTATTGGTAAAAAAAATTGGCGACAATCCAGCAAACTTGGTCTCAGCTCATTTCGCTTTGTATTGATCACACTACTATGAATAGCGAAAACTGAATGGCGAAGCAATAAATTATTGGATTAGCTATGATCACTAATTTTTCTTAAGTTAATTGAAATCTAATCCACCGTAATCTTTAATAATACAGAATCATGCCTTCTGATCAATATCACGGGCTTTCGTACCGTCTCTACAGCACTCAATAAGTGTTTTGAAGACTTTAGAATATCTGCAGAGTCAATAAATGCGGATCATTTATTTCCAAAAGGAAACCATGGGGGAACTCTTGGACGTTCGTTAGCGCCTCTTGCAGTTCATCTGTGGTGTTCTTTGCGTACCTCATCCGTGTACCGTGTATGGATTGTAAGATACCCGCTTTAATTTACAATTTCAGCTTATTATCTTATTTAATATTCTACAATGGATAACAAAATCGATCGGCCAAACAAAAAAATCAAGTGGTTAAAGTTCCTGTTGTAATAATATAATATGAAACATGTAAGTATTGCCTTTTTAATGCTATGGGCGCGGGTTTTTTTTAAAGGAAACGTTTATTTAAACAAAAACACTGCTTATATCAAACATAGAATTTGATAGTTTCTTTGTAGGTTTTTTTCTTACTTTCAACGCTTAGCTTACAAGGCTATAGGTCAACGTCACATATAACACGCGGCCTTAATTACACTAAATCTAATAAAGTAAACGTTTCATAATAGTTTCATAAGTTCAAACCTTGTAATTTCGCTGACTGACTTGATACTAACTCTATTGACCTTATACGATAGGAATGAGGAAAACATAAAGTAATAACCTTGCCGCTTCAAGCCATTACTATGCGAACATTCATAGTTATAGGTTTTACCGGTAATTTCAGTCCTTTCCAGCTGTGAGTGTCACATTAAAGCGTGTCAAATGGGCTCGCAGATCGGTTATACCTCTCACAAGAACTCCTTCAACTGTAAATACCGTTACAATGCGAAGTTTTTTTTATTCAATGGATTTACGATGAGGTCACAATATCATGGCATAAGGCGGGCTCTTCGTGGACTAAGCTTACCGCCAGCCATGAAAATAAATTGTTAGCAGCGTCAAGAGTGGTTACTTCTAAAGCATTGATGGACGCATTATTACGTCGATAATTTCGTCTAATTTCATAATAGCTGCTACAAAGGCTGTCCTCACAGTTTGCGGCGCGTCCGCAGGCCGTTCTCTTTGTAGAAAGATACAATGCCTGGTAAATTTGACTCACGAGGGATACCACATATACAAACCACTCATTTTAGAAACGAGCCCCCTTTGTACGGTACGGTTTCTGTTCTTATGCTAAGAGAGGGACCACACTTGCAAGCAATACAGCCGTAACTGTTTCTGTCTTCGTTATGATTAGTAAGTATTATTTACTATGCTTATAAACACTATCTTTTTGTCAAATAGCACAGTGGTAAAAAAATTACATGTATATGTATGTGAGGTAACTTAAATGAAGCTTTTGAGTTTCATGTCCCGTATTACTGGTAAGCATTGGTTCCAACAACTGGTTGCTAGTAGCAGAAAGTGAATTGTATGCTTACGCCCGTTCTCAAACCTAGACTACCTCAGTTAACCTCCTTGAAGTTGCTATGCAAACACATAGTTAAACCACAAGGCCATCACGGAAGTATGTCAAGCGATCTGTATAATGGCAACGGCGAATGGTTCTGCGCATATAACGGTTACATCCAAGCGTTTGCAGCATTCTATAAAAAAAAACTGTCGCTTTGTCAAGGCGAAATGTATTATAAGACCTGAGTTCAAAGCAGTAAAAGTTCCACGCATTGAGGTGTGTGTGCGTCGATTGGTCTGTTCCTGTTATAGTTACAACTATCTCCTTCTGGTTTACTGCTTTGACGTTGTTGGCAAAAGTATATGTCCTGATTACTTCTGCAAGTTCTGTACGCAAAAAGTGGCCGGCGACATAAATCTAATAGTATGAGCCGTTAGCCCCATGCTCTTCTTAGGTGTCGTCAAATATATAGAATACTATCACAACAAACATTTACAAGTGTAAATGTTTTCCGTTTAAGTACAGGCACTGTCAGTATTGCCTCCTAAAGATGCTGCTACAACAGTAGGCCTGCTTAAAACAGCCTCGCGCAAGGTTTCCCCGCAAAAAGAAACAAGTAAGAACTTTGCAAGATAATATCATTGACATTTCGTTGGAAAACAAACTCCTCATTTGAGACCTGAAAAGGAGACACTGTTTATTTATAAAATAGAAAAATATGTCGAATTGCAAAAAAATTGCCTAAAAATACATGCAATAAAAACGAGCGAGTCGTTTGAGTTCTTCGATGCGGCTCGCCCGTCCAGGCCGTTAGCATTTCGATATTTTGCCCAAACAAACACCAAGCCGCAACATCAATTTTATTTAACATATATTCATTGCTTTCGTCAATTATTTCTGCTCCGCACCGTCGCCCCTCTCGGCCGCGGTAGCCGCCATTCTCCTATACAATGTATCTGTTCTCCTTTTGGTAAAATTGTTGCTTCATCAGCTTGTTTTTGACATCACGTTTCTGCATAATGTACCTTTCTGTATATTTACGTATGCCCTTTATATGCCGCCGCTCTTTTATTATTGCAATTTTTAATATCATTGAAATGTATAGTTTCTTTTTCACACACCCCATGTCCGTTTGCTAATAACCCATCATCGGGAGATATCTCTGTTTTACTCTTAGAAATACTACTTTGGTAGTTTTTAAGTGAAGTTCATTTGTTTGTCAAATATCTTCCGCAATATTAATTGGAGTCATTTTTATGTTTCAACATTTGGATGTTTATTTGTTCCATACCTTACCTAGTGAGTCTCCGCAACTCAACTGCGTCTGATTATTATCATTAACCATATTGTCGTTTCATTTAACTTTCTAGATGCAACGTAGTACTCTCGGCTTAAGTACGTTCATCTATATACGTCTCCATGAGACGTTTTGTTGCGGATAAGTTAGTACACTGTTAACGTAAAAGTTTACATTTCTAAACAGCAGTAACTCTGTAATTCGAGAAGGAGATTTCATTAGCCGACACCAAATGCTCGCAACCATTTCCTTTGGCTGGTAGCAGTTTTTTTTTTATTATAAACATGCACGCACACTAAATACGGCCTGTTAATTTATTGCATAGCGAACAATACACAGTAAATCAATCGAACGGTTTACAGTAAAACGTCTCGTACACGTCTGAATAGATATTCATACGCTTGTGAACTCTGCTCCGTGTCAAGTGTTACATTGTTTTCTATTTAGTCTACGCTGGAATTAACTGTTGTCGTTACTCATCGTTGAAATAAACGAACACATGAATGAATCGGCACCTCGGCCTCGGATCCTACACGGCACTACATTTTCTGATATGAAGTACGCGGTACGATTGGGAACAAACCCTCGGCGCACACGATAACCATAGCTTTAATCTGGTAATCATGAAGAACAGGTTAAAACATGCGGTGCCTCCTCTTCTACGCCGAAGCACACTCAGCATACAGACGAAGTTAGATAAATCTAAGTAAAACTCGATTTTATACATGCATATATATACCTCACTATTGCTTAAATGATTTTGTGGTAAAGGCAGGCCGAAGATTACGTCTTCTTTATTTTAGTTGGATTAAATAAAACTGGACGAATATTTTTGTATCCATAAATAAAGACAAAGTGGGTTTGAATTTGGTGGCGTAAAAAGAAACCTGTTTAATCTAAAATGGAAGGGGTCTCGACAAACGAGGCAGACGGGGGTTGAGCAAAACAACTAATCAGTCATGACGATACTCTTGTCCTATATATGTACATTACTAGCACTGACATCACAGATATTATTTTTACGTTGCCGCTAATTCGAACGTAAGGTCTGTACCGGCATAGCTACTCGTCAGTTGCTACAAGTATTCTTATAATTATATTCAGGACTCACGTGCAATAATAATACTAATGATACACTATAGTACAATACAAGTTGGACAAACAATGAGCCATGATCGCGTACTTAGCAACTCATAACTGAAGCTGTTCAAAGGCTTGTTCCGTAATTCGTTCCGTAAACGCTCCGAAGGACGCTTCATCTTCTTTAGATTGTTAAGACTCACAATGATTTATTGAGTTCCCTATTCATCCCTAGTCTTCATCAATACAATGTAATTTTTCTAGATTATGCATTGATCAAGAAAAGAAAAGGGTATCATGATCACATAGTTTTATGCAAAAGGCTCTATATACCCCGTGCAGTGATGTACATTCATTTGTAGAAATTATGCGTAGTTCAATAATGATAGTATGTTTGTTACATTTATATTTACGTTTCAATAAACGAGGTTTGAGGACCGGCCTCTTATATTGTCGCTATAGAGAGGACAGGAAAGATGATGAGGGCATTATATCTGTTTGATCGAAGGTCGGGAACTGGCTATTTGGGAGGGGTAGGGCCGGAACTACCTGTAGTCCATTCGAGCGGTCAGTTGTACGGATCACACTTACCGTATCATGCGCACAACTCAAAGCCACAACGGCGAAGGGCCACCTCAGTGACCACAAAAAGTTACCATTTATCAAATCGCAGATCTCAACATCGACGCTAAGGGCTAAGCCGGATGCTAGTGTATTGTAGATACGTAGATAGATACAGAATTGAAGTCAACCCGACAAAAAACGGTACAAATCAACAAGTTATAAAATTATCCAAACACAACAAGTGGAAGTCGTTTAAATAATTAGCTAACAAAAAACTAGCCAAAGCACTTGGGCACGACTAACTCCGAAAAAAAAAACTAATACGCGCATCAAGTAAAATAATTGTTAGGAACACTATTTTCGTTACCTCCATTTTATTTTCACAATTAGCGCAGTAGTTAAGTCATAATATTACTGTCGTCTTAATAAATTTACTTAAATACTTGTTGGTGACATTTTGTCAGTCAGATGTACAGAGTTTTGGTCTTTGCTGAGGGCTGTTATTATTATTGCATCGTTTCTATTAGAAACTAAATAATTTGCTTTAAAATTCGTAAACGTGCCACAACGACCAATTTTGTTGTTATGAGGATATTTATATTGTTCATATCATGTGTATCAGGAATTCATTTAACTTGCAACGTTAAAATTACAACAAAAAAAACAACCAGTTTTGTTATTAAAGTAAATATCTATAATCACAATCGAAACGATTCCTTAGAGTTCAGGCGCTGCCTGACGCTGACTATAGAAAAACATGATTTGTGGAAACTTCAACTGCGGTAAAACACGTCCATATTTAGTTCACGTATCCACGTCACATATGCATTTGGCATACGTGTAGCAAGCACCCTGTGGTTGATAGAATAATGAAAATCTAATGGCTCCGTACGACGATTAGAAGCGCTATCACGACTGAGCTGCTCACTGTTTCAGAATTAGCGTAACGTGGGAGATTCATTCCAAATGCTTCATATCGCTCGTTTTATGTAGCGGATATACAGAAACGTCCGCAAGTTTGAAAGTACGAGATCTCTTGCGTACAAAGGAACCTGTCAAAAGCAAAAACAAGTATTGTCATGTGACGGGTGATCCTGCGTTTATATATTCACAGGCGCTGCTAATTCAGGAAGTCAATGTGACTTCAAGAGCAGGGCTTTAGTTTTAGACAATGTAGAGGCCCTTATGTTATTACTTGTTAAGATGCCGAAAGATGTCACTAACACAAATCCCAAATACCACTGTTATACAGAAATATCCACTTACTCTTGGATTTGACCGTCTAATCAAATTCATCCACGCTCACACGTATCCGTAAAATCTTCGGTCACCTCTCAGCATATTTGGACAGAGGGGTACAGGTAGATAAAATGATATTCATTGTAGTAAGCGAAGTATTTTCCGTACATATCGCAGAATGAAACATTGTCCATTCGAATGACGATGAACTATTCTTATGAACTAACGCCCTCCATACACAAAGGATATGACTGCTACGAAGGAGCATCATGGGGACGACGGCCTTAATTCACCTAGCCCATAGAAGGAAAAAATCTTTTTGTAGTAACTATTCTGTAACCGTATGCGTTTGCAACGCCGCAGCTTTTCATAGGATAAGTAAAATAGAAAATGGTATTTTAAAATAAGCTCCCCTTTAATGTTAAGTTAATATTTAAATGATTCGGCTACTGATCCGAAGGTTCCTCCGGCAGCTCGTAACGCGATTAGTGGACGCCACTTTTTGAAACCCTTCACAAAACATTTCATAAAATTCGGTAGGTGAAGCCGATCTTGCGAAATCGATTAACTCTAATTTTCGTTATAATAAAAGGACACTTAATGTAAACCAAGCCAGCTTGGAACGTTCAAAAGGGATAAAGGTGCCAATTAGTGTCTTTAGGGAATAGCAAAAGACGAAGTAATTTTGAAGTTGTGTTCGGTACTTAAAATCCTTACTTAACTTCTGTCAGACGGTTGGTTCGTTTTTGCTGGGCAAATGGAATATGCATATTCAGGATGTACGAATTTGGCAAGCGCACACGCAGCTTATACAGTCATAACATTGTTTGCTGCTACTCTCTTGCTGGCGGACTACGAATAAATTATTTGACTGGGCCTGCCTTTGGGCGATTTTTGTTTCTACAGTTGGGTATATACTACAACTTCGAATTTAATCAGATTCTAATCTCGTCGCCACACTTATTTACGTTGTTGCTAGAAGGCCCCTGCCGTTTTTGTCGTCTATAATAATGCCAATTATATAAAAATAAGCTACGTTCGTGCACGCATATATTCCCTGTTATCTTTTCAAAACGCTTTTTCCACTTGCTAACATAGAAGTATTATAACTATCGCGGAAACGACTCCCGATAGCACTGCAGCCGTCCAGCGCCAACCGCAAATCTAACATCTCAGTCTTGCTACTACCGAAACTCGAGCTAAACACACGGATCTATACGCTCACAATTGTTTATCGGTCTTTTTCGCCTCTGATGCCAATCAGCTTCCGTTTTTAGTGGGTTCCTCGGCATTCCAGGTTCGTTTGTACACACGCAACTCTAACCAATGCTAATCCTCCTCATTTCGCTACTAATTCAACTAGCGCACGCAACGTATGTAGTTATGACGATTTTTTTTACCGCACCGTCAAGAAGAGACCGAAACAGAACTCTCAGCATGATGAAACCATAAAAAAATGAAGGACGAAGCGTCAACAGAGACTATGTATTTCAGCATCACCAGCGAACTTATTTTCTATTCGAAATTCGACAGCTTTCTCCTGTTCGACTTGTACAAGTGACGTTTGCCGTCGCAGATCCATCAAGATAGTTTCACCAGTAGCAGCACTTACAAGATCGTAGTTCTTTAACAATTGGAATAACTGTATTAACTTAAGTGTAATGGGCATCGCTGTGGTGGTACCAACAGCCGTAGAAGCCGTTAAACGATCCACTTACGCTCCGTCACGTTATCAACCACAATACAACTAATAATATTAGGCTCATTATCACCGCCATCATCGCCAACTTAAGTATATTAGCCACAGGCAGCCAGTGTATCAGCAATCTTGTTTACCGTTTTTCTTCATCTATTTGCTGCCGAACTATTAGTCGTGGCAATGGTGAAATTAACACTGATATTGATATCGTGTTGTAATTGCAACCACTCGGATAATGGCAATAACCGGCAATGGTGTCAGCTGTGCTAGTCAAACACCCTCATAATTCGAACATCTGCTCGTGCTCACGATGGTGTCGTTGAAGCGAAGTTTTGACCTTTCGGCCAGATGTGACTACGGTAGTTTTTGGCGCAAGGTCAATAGTCGAAAAGTTGCGTTGCTGTCCATTGTTGGACAGGTCACCAAGCGATTGCGAGTGGTTATTCCGATAGTTATTTTGATAGCTGACCGAATTGAGGGCCGTACTGAGGGTCAGACCTGGGAGCGATGAGCCGTCTTGGGGTCCCCTACCACCGTCAACGCCCTCATCGCCTGGAAGGTTTAACTCCTTAATCTGGCTCTTCGTCTTCTTTATTGACGTGTCGATACGGCCGAGGAAGTCACGAATGTTCTCGTCCTGATCAGTAGCGGCGACTGCGTCTAGGGAAACGGCCCGCTGGGGCAACGGGGACGCCTCTCTTGAGCTGTTGTTCTTCGTACTGCCCCCAACGCCTGACGCTAAGAGCTGCAGCAGCGCAGGACCATCTCCGCTGGGACTCTTTAGCAACGGGATGTCCAGGTACTCGCGAAGGAACAGCGAGTCCGTCGTCCACAGACGATTCTCCCGTTTGATATCCTCCATTGTCACGCCATACTTTAGCGCCAAGCCCTGCAGGGTATCACTCTGCTGGACGCGGTGCTTCACAATCCGAACGTTGATTCGGGCTGCCATCTGACTGGCACGGCTGCCACAACTTCCATAGCTCCGAGGAGTTCTTCGACCGCCGGACAAGGGAGCGCCGACCAGTCGGGTCCTAGAGGCCGCGGCGAGGCAAATCCTCTCCCCGTCTTCGTCAACCATTTTGCCTGTTTAACGTCCCTAGTGTATTAAAAGCGCTATGATGATTTCTTTTTTCCTTCTCGAACCGACCTAAAGTTGCAGCGGCTGCAGGATCCGAGGAGGTTTGACAGATCAGATCAACAGCGCACCTACAGAGGACGAAGCGGGCGGAAAAGTTGCAAAACAGTTCTGGCGAAACAACCGTACCTAGTGAGAACGAGCGTTCGGAAGAGATGTAGAATCCTCTTCTATCTAGAAGCGGCTGTAGTAACAGCTGGCCAAACTATCCAGGCCTGCACGCTCGGTCGTTTGCTAGCCGGCCAATCAGATCAGGTCTAACCGCACTATGTATAGGACGGCGGCGGACGATAAAAACGGCCACGCTGCGGGTTGATGACGGATGGCGAGTGGATCAAGAGCTGCTACACGTGCACTTTCTCACTCACGAACCATCTTTTCACCCATAAGAAAGATACGAACACTGAACTGGACCTACCCAGCAGCAGTCCATGACTGAACAATACAGGGCACAGGCGCGGATCGAGCGCTCACACTACGCTTATCCGGACAATTTATAGGGACATTTACTTATCTCGTTAGGCTATAAAGAAATATGTCCGGTGGCCTTGTCAAACACGCTTTTTTATCATTAGTCCGTAAGGCGCAGGTTTCACGGCTGGCCAATGAAACCCCATCTACTACGGCCGTTTGCGGATTAACAAACGAGCACTGCTAGCACTCCAACGACGACGAATCATCACTATGTACGTAGAAACGACGGAGCCGGGCACAAGGCAATCGGTACCAATTGAAGTGCTACTGCCCGCCCGTTCCACACCTTTGTGTACTTCGTTCTTTTTTGTTGTTGGGTAAATTACTTTTTCTCGTAACGGTTTCTGGCGGAAATAAGGCTGACGAAGTCAGATTTTATTGTGCTTGCTCTGTTCTACACTTTCAGCGTATGGGTCTTGCTGCTCTGTCCATATACCTCGCTGTCTATATGTGAAAGGCCAGCTGCCCAGCTCTAAGGTGGCCTACTAACGAGCGATAAAGGTATAAATGAAATTTTTTCTGCAGGCCACAACTGTCGCCGTCGTAATCAACATTTACTACCACTGTGTAAGTCCGCTCGTTGCAGCCATGAGTACATACAAATGAGTGTTGTCGTGCTAATCGAAGCAAGAACAGAAGCAGGTCGAGCAGTTGACGGCTGGCCGTAACAGCAACATCTAGCCAAGATCAGCATATCTCTGCGGCCCTTGACGCACTCGCCGTCGAACCGCTCGGTGGTAAGATTTCACGACTGCTATGGAGCGACCAACTCACAGACACATCAATGCTGAGAGCCACGGAGAGAGTTAGTATCCCAGTGTGACAGATAGCTCGTTGACTCCTATTGCAAATGTTGATACGAATGTTAAACTATCATCGCCTTCTCCAGCGGAAAATGCCCCTGTTGTCTGGGTGTGATATACCCGCACATACACACCCACAGACAACAGCAACAGCAGCAGCACGACCTGTGGAAATATTGTTGCTACTCAACGCACGGCAGGCGCATCGTCCTTCTTGCTGCTGCTGTGACACAAATACAGTGGCTGTGACGACTGACACCTCACTCACCCACGTCTCGCAGTAGACACACAGCATAGGGGAACCTCCACAGCCGCGGAAACTGACGAAGCGACAGCACTGGGCTTACTGGTCGGATGCCTGCTGTTCATACACAACAGACAACTTTCGTCAGCACCACCACGACGGCACTCCTTGCCTCGTACTACTTGGTCAGCAGCAGTATAACAGTAACATCATTTATAGACGACGTATGTGCAGAAAGATCCTTTAGTCGGAAGGGCCAATACTACTGTTTGCTGTGGTAAACGCCGACCTACACGCTGGTGCGAGAACGACACCCGTGTCTGCCGACTTGATGCAAGGGAACAGAAGGCAAGGGATTTAAAAAAAAATCCAAATGTGCGCAGATCGCTTTGCGATATTACCTACAGATTCATAAATAGTGCCGTAACTTATATGAAAGTTTTAGCGTGGCCGCGGCACCGCTGGTAGCGAAGTCGATGCGGGTTTTATTCACATGGGTGTCGTCTGCTTGAACCGCATTAAGCCGCCGCCGCCACCGCGGCCGCCGCCAGCGAGGTGCGTGTCCGGCTTCGGGACAGCTGATCGAGCCGGACTCGGCTGTAAGCCGTTTCGGCGTCGCTAAACAGCAGTGTTCGCGCGGAACTCCTTATTTTTCAATCGGGAAATCGCCGCGCCGTCCTGCAATTATACCATCCCCATAAAAAAAACTAGCTAATAAAGCTTCTAAACAAGATACACATATCACAGCGAGCTTCTGGCTCCACAGTCAGCAGTAGCAGCAATATCAAAGTAATATCTATTTGTCTTGTTTTTCCTTTTCAGCTCTCCTATGAGGGCAGAGAGATATGCCACAGTTGGTAAAGTCTGTGATTAATCCAACGATATAACAAGTAAGTAAAATTCTTTCCCAGGTCCGAGCTCGACCCCGCTGTACTCACTACCGCTTGCCTTCAACACCGTTCTTATTGTTCTTCCTGCAGATAGTTGCAGTGGTACGGGCGTGGACGATTGTTCCGAACGACGCCGTTGCCCAGCATCTCGCTGCGTGAGCGGCCGGCGGCGAGCTTCCGCCGCAGCTCCACTACCGGAACACAGTGGCACGAGTCGCCGGTGGACATGCGAACTCGCTCAACGCATTCATTGATACATACACACAGACACCCAGCAACACCCGCGTCAGCGGCGTAGTACTGTATTCTTGTCCTGGAAAGTGAACTACCTCTCGCGACTCTCAAGCCAGACGCCAGAGGCAGCCGTCATAGCCGCCGTTACAGCTGCTACGAGCGTTCAGCAAACAACGTTGTTGGTAACCACGTTTGTGAAAAAGGGAAAGAAAAAAAGTGTGCATTTGTTGCCAATGTGGATTTGTTTGTCTGTCTGTTTGTAACTTACAAATGTGGGGTTACTTAGCGACTCGTGCTGCTAATGCCGCTGCCTGCGATTTGCTGCGATTCGGCCAACAAGTGCTGGATGTGTTACTGTTGCCGTTATGCACCGATTGCTTCCCCATAAGCGTGGTTTTTGTTGTTTAGAAGTGGTGCTTTGATATCGATGCTGTGGACAAAGCTTCTTAGTGTGCTTTACTGTCTGCATAGTCAATCAGTACCTATTTGGCACTTAGTCGATTGGCCGGCCGGCCAGCCCGCCAGCGAGTCAGTGAACGCCGTGCCCAGTCAGGGCACTTGAGCGCGCGCCATATCAAGTACTGATTCGAGTAGCATTATCACCGCTGCTCAATAATCAACTATCTCTGAATTTTTCTTTAGCAAACTGGTCCATTGCTCAGTAGTATTCCTGTCTGTCTATCGGTTTGTCGCTACGTCCTGCAAAGAGACGTGAGGTAAAAGGGGCCGCTAACGAAGTTAGAGAGTGAATGGATAGACGCACCAGACGTGGCAAATGTCGGAGCCCTTGAAAAAAGTGAGTTCGTAACGGAAGACAGTCTCGGAGTGGGTGCGAAGTGTTTTGGAGTAACTGTTCTAAAGCTAGTGGTAATCGAGAAACGAAGTGTATTGTATAAAAAACAAAGTGTGGAAAAGAGAAGGCCTATTGGTTACTGAATGCGATTATTAATTGTATCAGCGAATTAGAACGAGCGATAACTGGTGCTAAGATTGTGTACTCTGTGCGTGTATCTGGAGTGAGGGAGTGTGTCTAACACGATGGCCGACCCCGCAGCGGTGGGAGCTCTAGATAAGGTGAATGGTAAGCCGGAGTCGAAAAATGGGCCCACTCCGACCGCTAATGCCGGGAAAGAACACACTGGAACGGCTATACTCAGCACCAGAAGAAGTTCTACAGCGCCGATTTCAGCTACGACAGAGGCTCCTGTGTCGAATCAGGCGCAAACCGCGACGAAAAATCTCCTTGATACAGCCTCTGGACGTCTCAGGGTAAGCGAACTTAATTACACAGTAGCTAGCTTTTACCAACTTTATCACGGATACGTGTGTTTCATCGTACCAACGTTTGTACATTTCTCTCGCCTAAGACTGCCACCCGCAAAACTCTCCCCCAGCCAACACGATCGTACCCCAACGGGAATATACTACCGTTCCGGTGATTTATTACCATGAGTATTTTATGAGCATGCAAGTGCTCTGCAAAATCGAATGGGGTCTTTCAACCGCCGAACTCTTACCGATACGATCACTGTCTCCTAACGGCAGTAGTACAGCAGGTTGCGTATGCTACCGTTTGTAAAGATTCGAATCAATGGTGTCAGAGTGCTGACGATGGTAGTCAAGAGCCACTACAATATTTGCTCAACTGGTCCCTGTGTCGTGTTGCTTCTCGCCATTTGTCCGTTGTACGATCCGGTTCGGAGCGTAATTGCTCTGCAAATCGAGGGCAAATCGCGTAGATCTGCCCCCCTTCCATGACTCCCACTCGTCCTCCCTGACTCGTGTTCGTTGGCTTGGTTGATTCGCTGTCGCCCTGCCGTTACTGCCACTGGTTTCGCTATAGCTCCCGTGATGGTGCCACGTGCATCGAGAGGATGCGGCGCCGGTCGGCGAACGCCAGCACGGTTGCCAGCGTCATAAGCTAGTCACGATTATGTCATTAAGCGTTGTGACGCACGCTGACGTTTGTATAGCTATCCTATTAACTTGCTGTTATTATCATTCTCAGTGTTTAGCTGTTCGTTCTGCTATAGTCAATGGCGAACAGTGATGGGACGCGATAAGCGTATGATAATATATACGGCGAGCTGCGCGCTTAGAGACAGACGCCAATGCGACCAACGAAAAAAATCCAAAGATATTTGGAAATGTTTCAAGTGGTATTTGGTTGAGCGTTGTTTTTTGTTATTGTGATTAGTAATAGTGATGTTATTACCACTGATATGATTCATTGCAACAACAGCAGCGCCAGCACGAAACTATAAAGAAGAACGTAGAAGCATGTGGGTAAAAAAGCCAATAATGTACAATTTTAAATTAAGTAAGCAAGCATGTATCAGGGCTGATCTGAGAGGTCAATATATTTGTCGCGTTTTCCAGTATTTTAATATGCGTACATGCGTATATGTCTGTTTTAAATGTTTACGCATTTGTACACGTTATAGTACATTAGCGTGGACTATGCTGGTGGCAGCCATGTTGCTGCTGACAATATTGACAATTACATATAATTGCTGAAAATTATATATATATATATATATATATATATGAGGTCGCACCGTGTTATCCATTGTTCAATTAACCCCAAAGCATTTTTTATCGGTTATTTATGGCCTGAACTCTGATGACTCCCTATCTGATGTTCTGATCGGCAAATACGTATAATGCCGCAAATTCTATCCAAAAACTTCTCTAAAACGAAATACCTATTGCGTTTGATTGTTTCCCGTCATTATCAGCTGAATTATGCCCCTGATCTCGTTTACACGTAGCATCTTCTTCAATCGTCCCATTCTACTAAATCACATTCTTAGCAGAGGCAAAACTTATTCCGGTACCATTCCTTCTATCTTTATTCGAAGTGCCTGTTATCGCTCTCTGTAATTAATAAACTACAAATCGTATTTCGCGAAGGACATCAACGAAAGAGGAACAGTACAAGTCGAGCGCCCATTTCATTTGTTACTTTCGTCGCTAAAGCCAGGCTTTAGGGTTTAGTTAGTAAAGGCTTTGTAAGTTAGTTCGATTAGAGCGGATGCACACCAAAAATGTCTCGTCATCTTTCAGCACAGCATTACTTATTCCGAAACTATTACTTGTAATTGGAAAACAGTGTTCATATTTGTTCGAATAAAAGCAAATAGGCTTAGCTGGTCTGTTCGCTGATCGGATGATCAGGGTAATGTTGTCAAATAGCACAGATAGAAGAAAAATGGCTTCTAACTGTAAAGAAAATATCTATGTGTATCGAAGCTGTTAGACTGACCAATCATGTTTAGGACATGGACGATCTGAAGCAAATGCTAATACCTTTTGCAAAACCTATACAAGCCAAAGAGTCTGGTGTTTAGGGGCCATTCTCACAGCCTTAATCTATTTACTCTAGGAAGAACGTTATAGAAAAATCAAACACGAATTTAGTAGTGCCTCTCGTTTTCCCACGGCTGGTCGCATGGGTCCCACGGGTCCGAAGAGCACATTTCGTTAAGGGTCCTGTCTAAGGGAAGGCACGATGACAGGGCGTCAGATTAACCGAGTTGAGTATCTCAACGGGGCCACCAGACACTCGACTAGGTACAATCAGGCTTTGAGCCTGGTACGGCAATAAGCACAAAGGCTATCGATCTACGTAAACTTGGCCATTTATCTGAATAAGGCTCCAAGCTCTAATCAGACGGGTGATTCAGTGGTGAATCAGTGGGTAGGTAGAGAATGAAATTATCATAAGAGGTACAAAATGTCCTAATGCTGTTAAATAGGGCGATGCAGATTTCGTTCATTGGGCTTGATCACTCTAATACAACTGCTAGCCCTGATAGTAACCTACAGCGAAACCAGAACGCTACTAAGGATTTGCGATATTTCTATCCATGCGTTTGCAGTGTTTATTATGCAATTAGGCTTAACACGTTTCCACTTGACTACAATTCATGAATACCTACATTGGATACCAGGTATTCGTAGGTACATATACAAATCTGTGATGCCTCATCAGTTCGATTGCGTTGCTCCGAAAGTAGGACTATACTGTCAAAGAAATGCTTCCGATGGTAACTTCCGTTCAAAAATGATAACACGAAAAAAATAGCGGCTATAACGACAACAACAGCCCAGTCAAAGAACTCATGAGTAAATCATGTGTGGTTTTTATGTCCAACGGTTAAGATTTTGCGCACTTCACTCGATTTTCTGCACATTAGCCTTCATATGTGCGCCGGCAGTTAATATCGTGTCTTCGGCTATATCCGATGCCAGAAATACGCCGTATATCACCTCAACTATCACGTTCAATCGCAGAAATTTGTAAGCACCACGTATCTAATCTGGCTACAGAATGTATGTTACGGCGAATCCTTCGGTAAAAGGTGCGCTCTTTCATTAACAACGTTGTCTTCACTGGTGCGTATACGAGGCTTGCTAATCCGAAGTTTGCGTCGGCAGTCGCTAATTTTCTGCGATGTACAGAATTATCCATCTCTTTAGATGAATTGTGTCATTTCGCTGGCGTTTCTGTGAGCTTGGAAATGTACTCTATTTCATTTTTCAATGAGCTTAACAAAAATAGTGCGCTACTATTATTAGGGTAGAAGTTTCGAAGCAAGAAATGCATTTTCATATATATGACGTGCATGTTTGGCTTCACAGGTGCACAGGAAAAAACACGTTTGTTATTTAGTGTACATGTCTTACTGACATTTGCTTTGTATTCTCGGACTATTGCTATGCTGTGTATCTAAAAATTGGCCTGAAGAAGTTGTATTAACTCTAGATTTTTGTATATATTGTGCATTTACAGATACGGTTGTTAAGCACGCGTAGATTATCCGAGCATTGGTAAATTGTTTAAAGTTGTTAAAGGTTTACGTATGGCAGTCAACACTGACGATAATCTGTCTGTAAGCCTACCCGACGAGGCTTCCAGTCAGCAGGTCAATCAGATTTTCAAGTAAAATCTCAAATTCCCCTTTTTTTTCTACGAAGTGTGATGTCCGAATCAATGATATGTTTGTAGCGAGTTCAAACCCGTTGCTTGGCTCGTCCTTAGACCTTCGCTATCCTGATACAAGCCGATATATATATATATATATATATATATATAGACAAAGCTAAAATCAAGAAACTAACAGTGACAAAAAACGGTGTTTTTTAAACGTCTATAGCCATATTTTAACTCGTGGTGTAGACGCCCTAGAGGATCGAGCGAGTTGGTTTTTTATGTTCAGTTAGGGTGTTCAGAGACGATTCTCCAAGCCAGAAAATTGATTCTATTTTATGGATTGACTGTATATAGTCTTTTTTTGGGGACTTCAATGACTTTTCCTTAAATTAAATCTTCAATCAAAAAGAATAGATACTGTTGCACAAATAGGATGACGCAGGACAATTTCTCATATAACCCCCATTAAAAGGTGCAATTTCAAGAAGTCGCTTATTGACTCTCTTTCTTCTTTTCTACAATCCCTTATAGTATAGTCATCTGCTTAATCTGGTCCGTAACGAACGGTTGGCTATTCTGTAGCTGCCGATCTTGAAGATGTAGCCTAGCGTATGTGCAGCTGGCATTTTATGTCAGTTTAATTACGGCACAAATCCCTTCACATCAATGTTATATTTATCTTGAAATGACTATACGTAGAAAGACTACGCGAAACGGCATTTTGTCATTATGGTAAAGCCCTCGATGGACGCCTACGCATTTACTGTTCCTCGTAGGAGGTGCGAAGAAGGCGGTCCAATGCTGACGCTGCTTTCCTGGGCTATATGAGTTGTGAGCTGGGGTGCTTGAGCCTGTCGTATGCTTCTTTGTGACATCAACTCTGTGAAAAATTAAATGGAGAAAAATACTTCATACATTATACATATTGATGATAAAAATAGTGGTGCTGATGTTGATGGTTGCTATTAGTTGGTAACACTTTTAATTGCGGATTGGTGGAGCAAAGGGTGGATAAAGTGACCCTAAAATTACCGTTGTCCTTTTCCGAACTGCTCGAAGTTTCGTTAGCTGTGGGCTATACGGGAAGGTGTTTGAAAAAGAATTTTTGGAACTCTACTGATGACTTATGCTTTGAGGTCAGCCGCAAAGATTACCATTATTATATGTAAATCGTTGTTACTAACGGTTTAGAAAAGCTGCAAGGCTTGTCTCATGGGCTACTGGGATAGGTCAACAACCGTGCACTAGAGCAAAAATAAACCAAGCCACTATTGTAGAAAAAAAATATACGAAGTCGGGTTAACTGGTTAAAAACGTGCATAATAACACGCAA